CCAGCACCCCTACTTCCCGCGGTAATGTATGTATATATATATATATATATATATATATATATATATTCTGTTGTCTCTTTAGCAAAGCAAGCAGTGAAACATTTTAATAAAACGTTTACATAAATTATTAACATTAAACATGATGAATTTAAGATGTCATAATCAAGTTTTTAAATAATAATGATTCACAATAAAGTGATGCCGTTCATATACTCTACCAGCACCTAGGCAAAAAATAATAATAACCCAACAGAATGACCCCAAATCTTCAGAGTATAAACAATGAAATAAGAAAACACAGCTGAATGTTATTCCACAAATGCTTTTAATCGGTTTTGACTGAGATTTGAATTGCACAGCATATTTCTGATACTTTGTTTTCACAGTTTATATCTGCCTCATCGGACATTTCTTCATGTGGCACCATACTTGCAAGAATATACATAGCTTATATGTCTTCCAAATGACCCTGACCCATAAATAATTATTATTTTTCCTTATTTTCCTTCCTTCTATTTGTCCTTCTTGAAAGTATGCAGAGGTATCTGGGGACAGAAGGGTATCCAGGGACTAGATTGTCATTTGTTGGGTTTGAATACAGTTGTGATTTTGTAGTTTCCTTAATACTCCTGACTTACTTAGACACACACATTTTTAACTTCTGTCCCACCTTATTCATTATGATCTGGTGGGCAAAAATGGCTTGGCAAGTACTGAGACAGATAGACATACACTAAGCGGGTGGACTGGAAACAACAATTGCTAATAAACAACGCTTACAAGACAAGACAAAATCAACATTCAGTTAAGTATCCTTTAAACCCCATGTCATAGATAAATAAATCATAAAATTCGATTTTTTGAAGGCCAGCATATTTTCAAGCAACTGATAGGGAACAAATCTGCTGTTTTTTCTCATGCAAGCTCTTTTGGCAAAGAAAGCAAGCAAAGGAGGCTGTATTTCCTCCTGAATGCAGTTCCAGTACACCAAATGTAAAGTCCTGAGCTCTAGGGTCAAGCAAATGAAAAAAGCCACTCAAGCTTTCTTTTTCGTAGGGAAGAAGGATGTTGATCATCACCACCCACTAGTCAGGAAATACCTTTCAAACATATGTAGTCTTCCGTGGCTGGATCAAAGTGGATTCTGGGCAATTTCCCCAAACACCAGCAAGAAACAACACTGAATATGTTACAAAGTTTGAACAGAGAGAGAAAAACAAAGCCCAGACTCTCATCACTCTCTGGCCATCATATTCCCCCAGAACTCAGTTCAGTGAAATATAGCAAATATATATTTAAACGTAAAATCCCTCTTGCATTCTTGCGTGTTTTTTTCTTCTTCTCTACATCACATTTTCAAAGAGCTGCATGGATCTCATCATGTTTTCATCCTGGTGAAAAAAAGAGAGAAACGTTTAGGTGTAATTCATCAGTTTGACCACACTGAGGCAGTATAACCTTTTCAGCGAAACTTGATCCCATTACATGACCATTGCAGAGGATTTTCGTTTTTTAATTTTTTTTATTTTATAAACATACAGTATGTGGCTTTTTCAAGTAACTAATGCTGTTTTTGAGCCATGAATGATTTTGCGTGTTTAAGATTACTATTACTATTCTAGCAGAAAGATATGTCAAAAAGTATTGACAGGATGCAGTTCCAAATTCAGATTTAGATAGATTACAGCATGTAATATGAACATACCTCCTGACAGGCAAGGACAAACTCTTCCAATGTTACAACTCCATCTTTGTTTTTGTCCATTTTCTGTAGGAGAGAGAAAATTAATTTGGGTTGCTCTGACATTTTTTTGTCTGTAAAAATCACACATAGAGTATTGCTACGGATGAATATAACTATTCATACAAATGTTTTATCACAAAATCAAAAGAAATGTATAAATCAATACGATTACGAATACGAGTATACTTTGAACCACATTATAATAAGAATTTAATTAATGAGAATCACCACTGAGTATATTGGGAATTAAAAAATATCTATATTTATGTTAATTAATTTTGTCATTTTGTTGCAAAACTTAAACTTTTTTTTAACATTCACTAAATAATTACTAAATACTGACCTCAAAGAAGACATCCACATGCTGTTTTGGTACATCCCCTTTTAAAGCCGGATATGTGTACTTCCCCATCATGTCATAGATGGCCCTCACTATCTCTGTCATTTCCTGTGAGGTACATGAAGACTGAGTGAGTAATTGAATTAAGTTATGTTAATTATGGCTGCCTATTTAAATATGATATACCTCCTTATTGATAAATCCGTCTCTGTTAATGTCATAGAGATGAAATGTCCATTCTAGTTTCTCTCTGACCGTCCCTCGCAGGAGAGTAGATAGTCCCATCACAAAGTCCTGAGAGAGAGCCAGAAAATAAATCCTGTGTGTAATGTCACTAAAAAAATAATATTTCTTGCTGTGCCAGAACGCCACATTGTTCATACCTCGAACTTTATGGATCCATTATTTCTGGTGTCAAACGCATTGAAGAGATAATGTGCATATGTGCTGGCATCTGGTACAGAAATGACAACAGATGAAAACATTAGACACTTTAATTCTCTAAAATGTAGCTGTTGTACGAATGTAATATTTAAGGACTTCTCTCTTTTTTTTTTTTTTTTTTTGAAGTACCTCCATGTGGAAAAAACTGTGCATAGATGTGTTTAAATGTCTCCTCATTCACCACTCCACTTGGACACTCCTGAGAGGAAAACAAAACATATTATTAAAATTATAAATATATTATTGGCTTGAAACGGAGTCTTGCATATGCATATTGGATATAATAATTGAAGCTCCGCAGGCCCTTAGTAGATGTAATTGGATTAGTTATATTATAGAATAGAATAATAATTTTATTAAAATATTTTTGTATTATAATTATAAATGTGATTTTTAAAATACATTTTTAATAATTATTCTACAAATCACCTGCAGTTATGTAACACATTTTATTTTCATGAAAATGGTGAAAAATATGATGGGCTTCAATGCTTAAACAAAACCAGTTGAGAAGCATTGCCATTAAATGCCACACAGTGTTTTTGGTAAAGCTTTTTTTAACCCAATAAATATGAGCTGCTGTGCGGGTTGCTGAGTCTTACTGTTTATGTGTGTCTAATAGAGCGTGTGAATGCTGGTGTTGTGAAATATGACTACACTGTAACTGATTTTTGTAATTTGAACAGTATTATACTGTAATATGTACAATAAAGTTGGAGCCTTTTTTTCTGACTGACGGCCGGGATGCCGCCAAAAGGCTGATAACATCGACTGGTGAGTAAGTTAAGGTCACTTATATTAGTCTAAATAAACCTTAGTTAAACCGAGAAACACGTTTGTACGTTCTGCTGCCCTTTAATGCAAGTTAGCTCCTCTGGTGAGTCGTTATTTAACCTTAACAGCGAATTAACATGAAATGCTGAGGTAAAGTGCGTTAGGCAAACCACTGTTTCAGTGGAGGTTTTAAACAGTATTTTCTAGTACTTCTTTTGTTTGTTATTTTCAGATTTCTAGTCTGGATGTAGTCTGCAACGTGTAAAATATACAGCAACCTATTTACAGTGTAGCTGACTGTTGCTTGAGGCTAGCACACAGTGATTAGTGACACGCTGGATAATGCATAGAGGAATAATAAGAGTTTACAGAGTTTTAAAGACAGATGAGACACGGCAAACAGAACCACAGGGACAGTATATGCAGATGAGATGTGATGATTCATAAGAGAAGATATTGAGGCATAAGGATACATTACATACACACTATAAGCTTCTTATCAGATTCCAAAATGTGTCAAAAGATATTTGTGTAAAGTAAATGTGCAGATGTGGGAGTGATGCAAAGGATGAGATGAGAAATACCGGGCAGCGTACATTTTTGAAGCCTCTGTAAAGGACTTGTAGCTCTTGCTTGGTGAAGTTCGTCTGCACCTCGAGCTGCTCAAGACCCTCCGGCCGATGGCAGACCATTGTCATCTCTAATTCATCATCTAGATTATCTAGAGAGAGAAAGCAAGCAACATGTCAGTTTCAGACTGATAAATGATCACTGCTTGCTCAGAGGTTGCTCTTTCACAGCACAGTAAATATCAACTTTTTCTCAGATGCTCCTCAAATTTCTTTAGAGAAATGAAAGTGAGACAAATAAGACAGTTGTTGATAGAGCAAGGCTAAGAATTGGATGAGAAATGACTGCATTCACATGGAAATCTCAGGCTTCATCTTAGCATATTTGAGCACAGTGTAGGAAAATATTGAAGTGTCTTTTGAAACTCTAGAAGACACTTGTGAATTTCTTAAAACCTTTGAAGCAAGAGACTTAATAATGAATACTTTATTATTAATTAGTAGTTTGATTTTAAGTTTTACACATTAACCCACATATTTTTACCTTTTCTATTTATATGTTACCCTTGGGTGAAATTATGCGTAGTCATGATATTGCTTTCCACTGCTATGCAGATGATAAGCAATTGTATGTCCCAATAAAGCCTGGTACCACGAATGCATCCTGTATCATGTCCTGCTGCACCAAGATGGGATTTCGAAAAAATTTCTGCAATTGAATGACTCCAAATCAGAGGTGCTTATAATTACCCCATGCAGCTATATGAATATATACAAATAAATTAGCCCTAAAAATCCGATAGTGTTTCCGGACAAAAATTACTGGCCTTTAAAAAAAAATTGCTTGTGAATCTTTCATTATGCTATATTATAACTTGTTTTCTTTCAGTTTGCACAGGATTTGAATCTCTTATTGGAAATTATTGCACATAGGGCTTAATGATCTGAGATTTTGCATCTCAGTTTTTTGAGTGAAAAAAAAAACATTATTTGTGGTTCATAATATAATGTTCAATCAAAAGAACATACTACTCACTTCCAAAAATAAATGTTTTTTTCACACATTTATTTATTTATTTTTTTGTATGCCAGTCATTTTTGATGGGAACAGCTTTTAAAAAACTGGGGGAAAAATCCTAAATGTTGGAAAGAATCCTTTTGCTAATTGGGTGCCACCTCTATAAATATGCCAGTAGCATAGTGTTGTTTGGTGACGTGAAAAAATAATTTTAAACAATGGAACACTTAGTATTGTGCTTTACCACTGGAGACAACGGGAAGACAAATAACGGACATAAACATTGAACAATGGCAAACACAAATTGGAAAGATTTAATGACAGAGAAAATCCTAAGTTGTAATGCTCAGTAACACTTTGTAAAACTATTATAATTGACATTATAATATAGTCTAATCTGCATCAAATTTAGAGACCATCATGCTGATCCACATCAATAGATGGCAGTACAACGTCTAAAGGTGTGGTCAAAAATTTGCAGGCGAAAAAGATCCATTGTCTGTTGTCAATAGGGTATTAATGTATGGAGCACAGCTCACACAAAAGTCACTTTCAAACAAAGCAGCTTTCTGTTGGTCAGCATTGGAATCCATGCATGACCAACCTGAACCTGATGCAAAATCTGCGGGTAAATCATTTACTCTCAGACAAAATTCCTGATTGTGTGGATATTGAAATGACTGGATTTTACCCGTCAAAATGCGTTGAACAACCATATTTGACTGCACCATCACTCCATCAACTACTGGTATCAGTACTTAAAGTACACAAAGAACAGCAATGCTAATGCTAGCTAGCTAACTACTGAATGTCCCTTAAACAACAAGTAATCTTTAGTTTGGATTTTAGTTCGCTCTTTAGTGTGGGTAACCTTTTCTTCACCAGTGCAGCTGGTGAGATTACGGAAGCATCATGGGATTGTCGGTGGTGATTAGAAACACACTGTTTCCCTTTGCAAAAACAGAAACTGTGCTCGGGACAAACCCACAAAGTAAACCTCCACTTCAAAGACTTTCACTTTGGTAGGAAAGAAACTTGGATGACTCATATGTTTTGAGATACACACAAACACACACAGGCTCATACACACTTTTGCACTCGACCCCTGCAGGCCTTGCTTCTGCTGCTGCTGTGTCAGCTCCGGCAAAATGATTGGTTGTGGGTAGAGAGGCAGATGGGGTGATGGGGGGAAATCAGTAGAATGAATGAAAATGGCCATGGGTGGCTTGAGGGAAGACCTTCATCTTTCACAGAACACTGGCGAGCCATTGCATCTCCTTATAAATGCTCCAGCCCTTTATAAATGCTCTCTCTAGTTTTACACACAAACACACACACTTTAACCTCCCATATATCCTGAAACACCCAGAGATGTACATATATACCCATAAAGTGATGGTGCTAACGGTTAAAGTTTTAAAATATTTGAGATGTTAAAATACTTTCTCATTTTGTTATATTGATTATTAAGTGTGCAGAGGGAACTATAAGAAAGCTATCCGTAGGCTGATTTCCTTGAAGAGTATGAACATTGTGCTGCTTTCAAAAGCTCAATTCGTTTGAGCAATCCATTGTGTCACCTTTGGCTCGACCAATAGTGTGATTTTGGGGCGTGGCTACCTATAATAAGATTGGCTGCTAATGTCAGGGGTGTGTTCCTGAATTAATGCAGGATTGGACCATACTGTTGTTAAACCATATGTTGGTGAAAACATAGTTCTCTATGTGATAGGGCTCCAAACTCTTTTGGATTAAACTTTCAATGCCAATCTATTACCTCAATTTTCCCCTTGTACTCAACATTTCGTCACAAAAGCTTTATGATTTTTTTTAGCACAGCCAGTAACACAACTCTCAGCCACTAATGAGTTTTATTCATTCTTTATAGTGCTCAGCATTTTCTGAACACATAAAAGCACCAACACAGTCACACAAGAAGATAAAGAATGATCTCATTAGCTATTTCTGGAATTTATGGAAAATTGATTTCATCATGTTTAGCGGATATTCCCAGCTAAAGACCTGCTTAGAGCAGTATGAATGTCTGAGGTCCTACAGGCTGTCTTATGCTGGTGGGTAATTTGTGGCCAAACCAATATGCTTTTCATCAGCAACATTTCACCAGCATGATATTTCTGGTGAAGATGGTTGAAAATGGAAGTTTGTTGGTTAAGCTAGTTAAAAATCCTGGGGACATCAGCATCCAAAATACAACATGCACTACTATTAAAAAGTTTATATTTTAAGAAAAGTAATATATTTATTCAGCAAGGTCCCATTTAATTGATCATAATTTACAGCAAAAAACATTTTTTTTTAATCAAAGATTTCTGAAAAAAAGTATGGTTTCTTCAAAAATGTTAAGCAGCACAGCTGTTTTTACCATAATAATATGAAATGTTTCTTGAGCATCACACAATTATTATGTGACACTGAATGCTGGAGTAATTGCTGGTGAAAATTCAGCTTTGTCATCACAGAAATAAATAACATTTTAAAATCTATTAAAGGGGTCATAGATGCGATTTCAAGTTTTCCTTTCCCTTTGGAGTGTTACAAGCTGTTCGTGAATAGATAAGATCCCTGAAGTTGCAA